TTTTCTAGCTCTTCTTTCAGCCCTTGGTATTTCTTGAGCTTCTCGTGCTCCTTCTTCCTGATGTTGCTATGGCTTGGGATTGCTACATCTATCACTACGGCCTTCTTCTTCTGTTTGTCCACCACTACTATGTCCGGTGATTGGCCATTACCAGTTTGTCAGTTTGTATCTGGAAGTCCCACAGGATCTTAGCTTGGTCATTCTCAACCACCTTTGGAGGTGTATCCTATTTTGACTTTGGGACTTCCAGCCTGTACTTAGCACAGATGTTTCTGTACACGATGCCAGCCACTTGGTTATGGGTTCCAAGTATGCCCTGCCTGCTAGCATCTTGCACCCTGCTGTTATGTGCTGGATTGTCTCAGGGGCATCTTTGCACAGCCTGCACCTGGGGTCCTGCCTGGTATGGTAGACCCCTGCCTCTATTGATCTTGTACTTAGAGCTTGTTCTTGTGCTGCCATGATTAGTGCCTCTGTGCTGTCAGTCCAGCTTTGTCCAGCCACTGGTAGGATTTTTCAATATCAGCCACTTCTTCTATCTGACGGTAGTACATACTGTGCATAGGTTTGTCCTTCCATGAGGGTTCCTGCTCTTCTTTCCCTTGTTCCTCTGGTTTGTGCTGCCTGAGGTATTCACTAAGCACATCATCACTCGAGGCCATCTTCCTCATGTATTCATGGATCTTTGTTACTTCATCCTGGATAGTGGTTCTGACACTCACTAATCCTCTGCCTCCTTCCTTCCACTTAGTGTACAGTCCCAGGATGCTGGATTTGGGGTGAAACTCTCCGTGCATTGTAAGGATCTTCCTTGTCTTGATGTCAGTGGCCTCTATCTCCTCCTTTGGCCAGCTTATTATGCCAGCAGGGTAATCTGATGACCGGCAGGGCATAGGTGTTAATTGCCCGGACTTTGTTCTTTTCATTCAGCTAATTTCTTAGGACTTGCCTTACTCTCTGCAGGTACTTGGTAGTTGCTGCTTTCCTTGTGGCCTATACTGAGGGGGTTTCCAGCTGGTTCCCATTTGCCTGTGGGATCCC